ATGCCGGTATAAGCTAGAACTTCGACATCAGTATGAAGATTATTAAACGTAAGCTCCTTAATTTCGAATAGGTATCAATCTCAAAGCACAATACCTCCCCAAACGTTTTTCACTCTTACTTTTTCTTAATGTGTTACATTACAAAATGGTCAAATATCACAATCACCGAAAATACAATCTCCCTTTGAACTATCAAAATTTCCAAATGTTTCATTCATGCTAGCCATGTGTACACCATAAATTGTTCATTGGTAAGTTACTGCTGAAGTAACCATAGGTACCAGTTGTAACAATTTTGGGGCTGTAATCTTCTGAAATCTGAATTCGAGTTGGTGCCACTTCTGAGACCAAGTGTTGAGTTGAATTAATTGATGTTGAATAAAAGTTTCATTTTGGCAGTGGTGTGAGTGCTTTGTGTGACATTATTTTTACTTTGAATGAAGACTGGAGAAAAGTGTACGGCATGTGTATTATTGTAGGGACTAATATTTTATAGGGACTGTATAGAAAATCTGACACAAATGTTGGGTGTAAATTCCATGCTTTTGGATGTAGTAATTAAGTGACACACATGAAGCGTTAAATCATCACTTAGGGGTCAGTGCAGTGCAGTCAGTGTCCTCATAACAGCAAGTTTTGTTTTAACCTTCACTCTGACACCCACGGTTGTAGTGTTCTGATAGAATTATCTAATATCTGTGGTGTTTAATTTAACCTCCTCTTTTAGGGGTGTTACTTCCTGACCATGATACATAAATTACTTTAAAACCTAATTGGAAAGCAGCCATTCCTCTGACATCTGGTGATGAAATACAGAAATTGAGTCCTGTTTACTCTTTCAAAATCTAGGATTTGTGGCTTTCTTATCAGAACCTATACTTTTAATAATAGGATTTTGAAAACAAGAATGAGGACTAGGAGAGGAATGTTACAGTAGATTTTTAGAAATTCCTCGTAGTTGAGCTAAACATCAACTCCTAAAATGGATAGACAAGCTTAGTAAGCAAGCTTACTAGCAAGCCAAGCAAGCAGGAATTGGGAAGAGGCAAGCAAGCGGGCGAGCCTAACTGGTAGGTAAGCAAGTGTGCAGGGAGTCAGTAAGCGCTCACGCAAGCAGTGGATATGGCAACCCTACTGCTGGCGGCCATAAAGTAGAAAATAGTTAGATTTCTAATAAGTAGCAGTGAATTTCAGAAAAAAATTGTATAAGAAAGTGCATTTCAAAGACTTTCTACCAACAAAAAATCAACATGACTAATTCCGTACGTTTCATCAATTAAAATTTAATAGAAAATAAGTTTAGTGAGAAGTACGAGTCCAGCGTTAAATACAAGAACCATTCTGCATTATTCCATGCATTTATTTTAAATCAGACGTATTCAATCGATTCTACGTTATCGACTGTTATCAATATTGAAAACACTACTTTAAAGTAAACCGTTACCCTAGTATTTATTCAAGACATTTTTGGCTCTTGAAAGGCTGTTACTAATTGTTTTTTAATTGACGTGCACCAATAGCACGTTAGTGTTTCGGGGCAATTCGAAATGGCGTTACATAAATTGTACACATACCCTTTTCACCACTTTTATTGTTATTATAATAAAAACAGATACAATCTCGATACCCTAATATCATCGGAGACGCGGTTCAAGGTCTGGCCTGATCCTCATCTATACCATAAGCTAATCAAAACAGTACCTCTGGACAGGTTTTCTTTCGACAAAAAATAATTATAAATGATTTCTGTGACGGATGTTTCCGTTCCAAAATGTCTGTATTCAAACAATTAAAATGGTTGTCATATTCAAACTCATGTTGCAAAAATTTTATCACAGGGGAATTCCTAATTGTTGCATGCAATCAATTTAACAATCTACTGTTAAACTGTTTTTTTTTTAACAAAAGCGATCAAAATTTGGCAACGATGCCTTCGTTCAATTGAAACGATCCACAACGTAAAAGGAATTAATTATTAATACAGAAAGTTTTGGGCTTTTCAGTTTTGGCAAATGAATGTAAATAGCATTTTCCGAATTTGTACATATAGGCCTATTGTGGTTTTTCTTGTAAGTTGTACTTAAACCATAAGCTGATTTTTCTTCCTTACTGAAGGGGATTAATGTGATATTGTAAGGAAGAGGGATCGAACCCTAATTCCTTTTATTTTGAAAAAAAAATTGCTTTGTAAACTATTATTGCATTGTACACCAGCATTTGTGCGGCCTTCTTGCTTTTCACTTACATTTCAGTGCCTTTAGTCTTACGTTTCAGTGATATGTCTTACCTCTTTTTATACGCATTGTATCCTTGTATTTAAGTGAATGTTTGAAACTGGTACTATGATGTTTTATCGGCTTCTGATTTGTTAGTAATTACCAATTTTCCTCAGCGTTTTGTTATTCGTTTTACATCTCACATAAAGTGTATTATAAATTTGCAAGTATTTTTGAAATGTTAAGGCTTTACAGAAGACCATCGTAGGCAATGCTGAATAAAAATAATAAACAATAACAATCATAAAAACAGGTTTCCCTTCAGCTGCAATGCATGTCCTTGTTACTCTGATTTGAAGGAACTTAGCTAATCTGTAATTTGAAATTTACGCGCTGTGGAAAATAACATCCAATATTACTAAAAACGGTGTAGGGCTTTGATTATTTGTTCTTTTTGTGTCCGCCTAAATTGTAGACAATTGCTCTACAATAAATGTCCAATGTTTCAAAAAAGGAAGAGAGATTCGCTGTGCAAACCTATGCAAATGTGAAATGTCTCAAAAAGGAATATTTGCTAAATCAGAATCTCAAAGAAGAGGCATTTGCTGTACAAACCTAGATGGATGTCCAATACGCCACAAATAAATAAGACATTTGCTGTTCTTAAATACTATGTGATTTTCAAATGTTCAACATAAAACAACGTAAATGTCGTGTCAAAGAAGCAGAACAGTTAATGTACATGTAGCGATAATTCAACTCTGTAAAAGTTCTGACAGCTTCACGCAAGAATCAAATAGACGATAATCATACAGTCTTCGTCTTGTATGCCTCCGACTATATCGACTCAATGTTTTAAACTTACCCGAAACTTGGGAGACAATGATTTGATCGTTAAGGTTGATCATCAGACAAGGACCAGACTTCGTCGGAAGCACCCCAAGGCTATATATAGACCCTTTTTTCACCCACGTGACTGGATTGCCCTTAATGTAACCAATACCACCATGTGTGGACCGCTTTAGATACTGTGATCGCACATAGTACGGGCAGCTTCAACCACGTGCAAGCGCACGTGCGAACACTGCATGCTCGCTCTTCCCACATTGAGTGCGATCCCTCATTATTCATTAAAAAATGAACTAAGAATAAGTATTCGTTTTACTTTCTTAGACAACAACAATAAAAAGGCACTTAAATAACCATTTCAAGATCGCAATTTCCAATAACAGAGATCGAGACCAAAAGATGTCCAGCCATGCTCACTAGGGCCATTATATTGGCGGGGAATGAATACACTGAAAGAAATTGCCCCCCCCAAAAAAAAATCATTGAGTTATGCATAATCCCTCGTGAATTATTCATTATTTAAACTTAAGTCATAGGAAAAGAACTTATTTACATGATATAAATTTGAAAATCTTACGGCTAAGGACTTGGGCAGGCTCTGTAACGAAGGACTACTCTACAGGTGGCAAAAACAGATCTTTGATGATACAAATAAGCTGGAAGTTGAGCTCATAGTGCTGATGTCAGAGTAACAATTTCATCACCTTTCCTCGTAGTCGTATTTGCCCAGTCACGCATGACAGTTACAAAATGGCCGTGTACAGTTTCCACTTTCATATGTCCCTCTTTTTGAACGTTGCACCGATTTCCGATAATTTGTATTTAGATAGATGTCCTTTTTATGGACACCCTGTAAATTTGCAAAACATTGGTAAAATATTACACTTTGTATTTAAAGTAAAATAAAAAAATGCAACTTTACTTACTCAGGGTATCTGTACTTTTAAACCCCAAAATAGGGTAAAATTTACCTATTGGCTTTTACCGAGTTAAAAGGTAAATTTACAGCCATTTTTTCAAAGTAAACTTTTGTAACACTTTTAAGAACTTATCTTTTGTGTAAAATTTTACACAACCTGTGTATTTTTCTCTGTGTGCAGTAAAAGCATTTACTCAGGTGCTGTAACATTTTTAATCCTAATAACAGGAGCCATGTCACGCCGGAGGGGGGGAAGGGAATTCCACCCCCGCTCCAGAATTTCGGCTGCTCCATGGATGATTTTTAAAATTCGACATGTGTGTACAAACACACCGCATCAGTACGAGGTGACCCTTTTAATTAAATTCACTATTAATTTCAAGTTTCGGTGATATCACGTTCAAGGTAAAATGCGTTACGTTCCAGCCCGCATGCATTGAGTACGACAGTGGAGAAGTGTGCTTCTTTTGGCTGGCCTGTCTTGGCAAACGAGCAGTATGTCAAAATGACAGCAAAGAGTTACAAACAAATCCTAAAGGCTCGGCTTATGTTGCGATATGGCATCAAATGTAGAGGGGGGGGGGCTGATTCCACCACAGTTCTACCCCAGTGTTACCGATTCGAAAATAAGCATTGGCAACTAAGTGTGACGTCACTCCAGTTTGAACCACGCCCACTGCACATGCACTGCACATAGAGTTACGTGCATTGTTCGCCATTTGCATGAAGTTTGAAACCGGAAGTTAACAGGTAACTTCAGCAACCGTCCAATAAGAGCCTGCAAATCGTGGCGCGTCCGCATGTATGACGAAATCACTTTCGATCTAGATACCTCTTGGAATTATTGCTGGTGTGATGAGTACAGTGTCAGTGATTTGAATTGATACAATTGATAAACTTGTCTCCAAAAAGTTGATAAACATAAAAATCACATAAAAAGTAAATTACGCAATGAGTTTAAAAACTGACAGCTGAGAGAGAGAGACGCAAATTCGAGGAAACTTTCAGAAGGTCGATGGCAAACCTCTCGAATACAGTGAATGTAGCGGGTACAAGGTCCAATTAAATTTGACCTTGAATTCTTATTTGCTTTCACGCATAATTTAAGTCAAAATATTAAAACTCTTTTAACTTTATCAGTGATAGACTACCGCATCAACATTGAGATAAATTAATTGCTAGGCATAAAGTCCAAGGTTGACCTTGGCACTGCTACATAATTTTTTAAATATATATTTTGAATTAATTTTTCAAGAGGCAAACAATTCAAAAATTAATTTGCAAAGACCAAATAACACAACACGCAATGAAATGGCTCGACCTTGAACATGAACCGTACACGCTATCGCAAATATTACAATTAACAAAATTAACAAAATGCGGAAGGATGTGTTATTGCGTTGTCTGACGGTCTACATCAAATATATCTTCAAATGTTTGAGTTATTGATATAAGACATGGATCTACCTTAAGAAGTATCAGTGGGATGAGAAAATCTGTTAAGAACATACTACAGATTTACAGTGGTTTAGGAATAATTAAAAAAACCAAAAAACAAACAAACCAAAAAAAAAACTCAATTCTATAACAACGTAATTGGAACTATTTTGTTTTCTTTTTTATTCCAATGCACAATAGAACGATCGAGAGACTAAAATCAACAGATTTCCAAGATAACCTATTCGCTCAGGATCCTACTGATAATTCTCACATTTTAAAGTAAATTTGACAATGAAGGATAATCTGTAATTTTTCTTTTATCAAGACATTATTTATTGAGTTTTAAATCAGAGGGTATTAAAATGTTTTACACACTATGCTTACAAGGTTAATATACTAAAAATTCAGTGCAATATTTTTACACTCGTTGGCTGAAATGTGTGAGAACAGAACTTCATACAAAAAGCCCATTAATACACACAAAAACCACAAAAACATGGAAAAACACCGAACCTCAAAACCAAACATCTACAATAATTAAAATCCAGTGCACCTTTTCCTATCATCTCATTTTTGTATTTAAACATTGATAATAAATTATTGATTTCCTTAAGAAGCCACAAGATTACATATCAATAATACAATACATTGTCAGTCAAGACCTTAACTTCAATAAAACCACAAACTTGTCAGCAAAATACTTAAAACAACACTTTAGACTTTGTAAATTGTGTGTACGAATTGCTTTACTGACCATGTTGGAATTATCCAAGTCAGACTTGCAGCTCTAGTACAGAACGCCAATTGCCGTACCCCTCTGACTTCACATTGACCATGTTTCATAATCTACACTCTAAAAACTCCCTGGTCAGATTCACCCAGAATTGGGTCCCATTCAGCATGACCCTTTTCCGGGTCAAACATGACCCGAAATTGGGGCAGCAGTACACACCCACACACAAACCAACCCCTGTTTACATAAACAATGTGGACATTTCTTTGTTATCCTGTGTTTAAAAACTTGAGGAAAATGCTCCTTTTTCTTCAACTAGGATAACTCCTTCGAGCTGGAATTCTTTTGATGATTCCCCTGACTGTTCCTCTTCATTTTGCCACGGATAACCTTGACCCCAAAATGCCATGAAAGTGCTTTTCAGAGAGAAGAATACATTACGCTAACCTTACATACCCAGTGTGGACCTGTGAACAAAAGATTTCCACAAGATGCAGGAAAGGAATATGTTCTGTGGACTTAAGCACGTCCACAGGACGTCCAGAGCAGTCAAGGAAACCTTTACAAAAGTCCAACTGCAAATTGTGTCCACGGTTCAAGAAAAACAAGTATTTTAACTGAGTTTTGTTAACTCCACGAAAAGAAAGGAATGTCAACAGTAGGTATTTAAGGTAAGTGTGGGTGCGCTTGTACATGGTGCCTTGTGGAGTACCGGAACAGTGGAGGGTACCCCATTAGAATTTCACGAAATAGATATTTCAAATTTACTCAAAAAGGAGGAATTCTCAAGTGCCATTCATCCGTCGCAAATTGAAGTGTTTCATATAAGGGACATATGGTCGAAATTTCAACCCATGAAATTGAATTTGGTTGTAATGGCAGTGATTTTAAATTTTTCCGAGTTGTGTGGGAGTTTTGTACACGAGAACAAAGGAAATAGCCCACAAGTATACACATGTATGTGTTGGTGTGTGAGTTTGTTTCTGCATTCAATTGGGGACCCTGAACAATAGAGGACAATAAGGTCCCCGATTGACAGAGGGTCCCCGATTGACAACTCTGTACAAAACGTATGGGTGGTCTTCTAAAAAGTTAAAGTACAAACAAAAGAGGAACAATAGGGGGTCCCCAGTTGCAGGAAAATACACACTTATATGTGTGGACGCCCAATATCTGCCTGCAACACAGAGGGCGCACAGTGCGTAGGGCATATACTGGGGTTTTGGTAAAACGCCGACCACGTACTGCTGACAGCAGATCGCATTGTATGGAATGCCAAAAAGGACAAATGTTTAAGATATCTAATCTCTTGCCTTTTCCGCGAAAAGTATAATGTTTCGTATTGTTTATTGTATTGTACATGTCTTATTGGGTTGAAACCTTGCAGGTAGTTAGGAAGGGAAGTTTTAAAAATGAAAATTGACCTCACTTGATGACAATACCAACAGCAGACAAGTCACGTAACATTAAATGGTGCCTCATTTAAAATACTATATCTCCTGAAGTCCATATCCAATTTCGTTCAAATCATGCAGATATCTTGAAAGGGAGTGCTTTACAGGAATTTTGACTTCATGTGATAATGACTTCATCAGGAGACAAGTCATGTTACATTTAAGGTACACTCTTTAAGGCCCCATATCTCCTGAGGTATATGTCTGATCGGGTTCAAATCATGCAGATATCTTGAAAGGGAGTGCTTTACAGGAATTTTGACCTCATGTGATAATGACTTCATCAGGAGACAAGTCATGTGACATTTAAGGTGCACTCTTTAAGGCCCTATATCTCCCGAAGTAGACGTCCAATCGGGTTCAAATTTATACAACAATAACAAC